AGCAAGCAAGGCACCTCAGGGACCCTACACTGTGTGGTATGCCTTTGGTTGGCCTTGGGCCAGCCCTGGCCTGCAGCCTACTCACCCTAAACCACATGAAAGAGCCGACAAGGAAGAAATTGCCTAGCAAGACGTCAACTGAAAGATGAGTAACAATTTTGCCTTCGTTCAAAGCCTGGGGGTTCCCCGGTTTCTCTTTGGGGCTGACTGAGAGGAATCGGAGCATAATATAAACTGTAGTGATTTACAGCTCCAAAAATCTCCAACGGGAGTATTTTGCCAAACTATCCTCTGCGATTCAAGTTCAATCAGAATCTGAACAAAATACATTTGGATAAATCAAATAATCCATAAGTTGCTAATTTTTTTTTTTTCAACGTTTTTTATTTATTTTTGGGACAGAGAGAGACAGAGCATGAACGGGGGAGGGGCAGAGAGAGAGGGAGACACAGAATCGGAAACAGGCTCCAGGCTCTGAGCCATCAGCCCAGAGCCCGACGCGGGGCTCGAACTCACGGACCGTGAGATCGTGACCTGGCTGAAGTCGGACGCTTAACCGACTGCGCCACCCAGGCGCCCCCATAAGTTGCTAATTTTAATAAATTAATTAAACCATAAATTAAACAGGGATCAGTTAAAGCACGGTCACTAGCTGCTTCTAAATAGAAGACAGAGAGAGCCCGTGGCTTACACTGAGGTGACTCAGTCCTGCGCACTCCTATGAATGAACCGGAGGAAAGCACCAGGCACAGGGCATTACATGTAACCAGGAATCAAAACCACATTGTTGATGCTGTGAATATTGCAGTGAGCATCGGCCACCATCACCGAAACTCTACCATTGCCTGAAGCAATCGAGAGATTGCTCAGGTCGGAGTTAACACCAGCTGTAATCCCTGCGCAGCCACCCTTGTATCTGAGGCCACCAGGGAAACCCACCCCCCACCTCCCCTTCTCTCGCCTTATTTGGAAGATGTTCTTTCTTGCCTCCTCGTCTCTTTCCTGGCGCATTATGCTTCTCTCAACTAATCTTCCCTTATTTTGTTTTCACGTTCTTTCATCCTCCGACACCTAAGACCCCATAGTGATACTCACTCATACCGTAAGCATCGCTGAGATGAAGTTTCCAGATCACTGAAGCTTACTCCTTTAAAAACTAAAATGCGTTTTTAAATTCCTTTAACCATTTTAACTAAGGGTTTGGAAAGTGTGCCGTCTGTTCTCTTTACTTCTTTTTTTTTTTTTTTTTCAACGTTTATTTATTTTTGGGACAGAGAGAGACAGAGCATGAACGGGGGAGGGGCAGAGAGAGAGGGAGACACAGAATCGGAAACAGGCTCCAGGCTCCGAGCCATCAGCCCAGAGCCCGACGCGGGGCTCGAACTCACGGACCGCGAGATCGTGACCTGGCTGAAGTCGGACGCTTAACCGACTGCGCCACCCAGGCGCCCCTCTTTACTTCTTAACGGAGCGCACGCCGGAGCCCCTCGACACTTTCTTGACCATGCAGGCTTGTCGATCTAAGCATCCCCTCAGGTCCTGCTGAAAAGGACGGAACTCTCTTCCCTGCATATATTTCCGACCTTGTGCTAACAGTTCTAGATCTCCTGTGCCATTTAAGAGCTCTGCTTTTCATTGTTGTCCTTGTTTCTCACTTCTGCCTTTCCCCTCCCCCTCCCTAATTGGCCGTGGGGTGGGAAGCCACACAGGCCAACTTGGACCAAGAAGGTGTCAGGATGGGAGTGATATATGTTCATAGGTCTTTGAGTGAGGGCTCGGGGCCCGTCCGCTCAGGAAAGTTCACTGGCTTTGTGACAGCGACTTCAACAGCTCAGAGACCCTTTTTCCTTCATTGTGGGGCCGGGACCATAGGAGTGTTAAGCAAAGGTAAGTCAAGGGCACGGGAGCTCGTCCTCCGGATAGGCCGGGCGGCACCGTCATCTGCATTTGAGTAGAAACACCGTTTCCCCTGGTCTGTGTGCCTGGTTGCAGACTGTACTCCACCCCTGCGAGCCTACCCTCAGTCCTCATTTAAACTTCGGACAAAAAACGAGACAGAAACAGGGAAAATGCTGACTTTCGCGAGTGACAGCACCCTGTGAAGGAGCTTCCTCAGACATCTCTGTGCGGCCGCCCTTTCATCTCCAGGCCTGCAACTCGGGACGCCCACCAGGCCCTTCTCGACACCATTAACCACGGCACCTTTTCAAGCTTCTTAGAGTGGAACCTTGCTGTCCTCGGTGGCCCTTCCCTCAGTTTTCCCTCTCAAACCAGGCAATTTCCAGATCCTTGTGTGCATGGTTTATCCCACATCCAAGATGCATCGTAGCTGCTTCTTGCTCACGCTTAATGAGATTCAAATTCATGGCTCCTGCAGGCTTCTGTTTTCCAAACATCCCTCTCACCTCCCTCTACCCAAATCCCTCTCAAGTGAGACCGCCCTACTCTTTTCACTGCTGGGCTCTCAGTCTGCACTTCTGGAACGCTCTCATTGGTTAACTCTCAAAATACTTCTTGCTTTCATGGGAACGCTATATTTTCACCTTCGGTTCTTTTTATGGTACTTCTTGCCTCCCACCTCCTCCTGTTCAGCCTTTACGTTAGCACTTTCCAGTTTCCTATGTTCCATACCGCTCTGCTGAGAGAATTAAAGAACCCCGTGGCAATTTTCTCCTTTCTCATCTGTCTACGCCAGAGTCCGTGCCCCGATCACACCTTAACATCTTCAACTACCTCTCAAGAAATTTGCTTTTCTGTCTCAGAAGTCCTTTTTCTCTTTTACTTTACTCAACTGTTTTCCCTTTTATGTATCTCCCCAAACCTCTAAACACATAATCGCTAGATTTTCTCTTGTGGTTGTGTCCCATATCCTCCCGCCCCCTCTTCCTTCCTTCGACCGTCACTGTCAGCAATAGCAGGACTGAACCTCCGAACATTTTATATGGTGCCGCGTATGGAGTTAAACGGACCTCATTCCCCAAACTGTGCAACTCCTTGGGGTCCTCTCACGAGTCCACTCTCCCTCCGCTGCCACAGAGTTCCAATATGGCCCATAGAATCCCCGTTTCATGGTAGATAAACTCTCCTCTGCCTTCAACTCATTCGGGAAGACCGCCCTCTGGAAATCTGGGCCTCCCTTAAGGATGCTGCTGGACTCCTGACTCATGCAGCCCTCTGGAAGGAAAGGACTCATTCCTCCACAGGATGGATACCTCAGGGTCAGGAGCTGGGGAGGGTTCACATGCCCCTCAGAGGCGCTACAAGACCAACACTTTGCCAGCCTCAGGTAAAAGCCTCTCCTCCTTTCTAGTCCATGACCTCTGACTGGCCTTCCTTGCCCACTCCTCACCTCACAGTCCTGTGGTCAGCTCATTTAACCCACCTGCTTTCCATTTCCACATCCCCGACCTCCTCATCTCCAATATTCTCTTTCTCGCACTTCGGCCGGCTGCATTCGAGACTCCACCTGGAACGTGCTCATCCCCTAGGACTATTCCTCATATAACTGCCTACCCTTCCTGCTTCCCAAGGCCCTTGCCCCCGTCAGTCTGCTCCCTCAGAAAGCATGCCAATCCTGTAGTCTACCCCTCTGTCCCGGTTGGCTGGCCCATCCTGACTCCTCTTCCTTCCCTGCCCAGCTTGGGTTCTGTCACTGATCTCGGGAATTGCTCTTTAACCGGCACCGTCACCTCCCTACCAGAAAAACTTCGGGTGGACTTCCTGATGCCAACCTAAGTTCCTGGGCAGCTTCCTACTGCCTCTGCTCCCACCCTCCAGCTATCAGGCTCTAGATCCTTGCTTAGGCCTCCTGCAGTCTCAACTGAATCTTCTCCTAAGAGCAGCTCCATTCATCCACTCCTGGTTTGGCCCTCTCCATTCCCTTCTAAGCCTCCACTCCAAATGAATGAAATAAAAAAAAAAAAAAAACCCTTGCATCTCCATCATAATTCATTACTTTAAAACATGCTTTTGAATATCTGTTATTCTATCCACAAGACAGCTTTTGTGGGGTGGCAGCTCAAGGATATTACAGCCCCCCAAAAAAAAAAAATTGAGTTTCACAGAGGCTACGTGGCTTACTTAAGCTCTCACAGTATCCAAAGAGTAGAAATGATTGGCCATCATAACAATCAAAATATATTTTCTTTCAACCATCTGAGACACCTATGCTGTGCCCAGTTATTCCACACACTAGTTGTAGGGACTGACACATTGATCAAAAAGAGAGATAAAGGGGAGCACCTGGGTGGCTCTGTGAGTTGGGCATCCGACTTCTGATTTCAGCTCAGGTCATGATCTCACAGTTCATGAGTTCGAGCCCCATGTCAGGCTCTGTGCTGGTGGTGCCGACTCTGCTTGGGATTCTCTCCCTCCGCCCCCCCCCCCAAAATAAATGAACAAACAAAAAGAGAGATAAAGAGATGACGGCGGAGGTCACCTCAAGATCACTTTTCTTCACGCATTGTCCCAGAAGCAAATATTCAGGTTTGTTATTGCTGGCTCAGAGAGAGAAATGAATCTGATCGAAGATGCAGAGAAATTCCATGCCAGCCAGCTGCTCTCTGCCCTCTGTGTAGACCCCACAACCAAACCCCAACAAATGAACAGGAGTCACAGCGCTGGAAAAGCAACTGAGCTCAGCAACGGTGAATCAGTGCGCAAAACGGATTGCTCCTCTCTGCATCCTCTGCCATCTAGACATTTCTGATGTCATAAAGACCACAAACACAATCAGGTGCAAATTGTAATGGATATACAGATAACAGTACTATCGAACAAAGACCCAGGTTAATTTTTTTAAAGACATTTGTATGAAATACACGTTAAAAAGCCAAAAGATATCCCTCTACAAATATTTCGGCTTCTTCGATGAAAAAAAAAAACAAACCGTTACATACATCTGAATCTATCCATATCCCTAATAAAACTAACACTGTTATCTGCCCTGGGACTCTCCTCCCCCAGCAAAAATACAACTATTTAGCCAAATAATTATTTACCTTATAGAAGATCAAAAGAAGGTCATCCAGTTTCCCATGCAAATCACCTGCAGTGCAAATGAAAAATCACTCTTCAGTAGGAAACAAGAAAACGCCCATTTTGTTACAGAATTTTTAAACAGAAATACTGCTGATATACTCCTAGCATTCTCAGGGCACTGGGGTTTTCCCCATGATGGTATGAATTCAACAATTTGTTTTTATAGCTCTCTTTTTGTCCCCTTTCCTCTGGGAGACGGCATCTGATATTACAATTACCTGTTCACTCCTACCATTTATGCAGCGCTTAGCTCACTCTGTGCCAAGCACTGCATTAAGGGTTTACGTGAATTATCCTGTTCAATCCTCACAACCACTCTACGAGATGGGTATTGTTTTCACCATTCCTAGGTTACAAAGGAGGCTCAGAGTAGTTACCCGGTGCAAAATTACCCAGCTACCAAAGATCAGAGCTGGAATTCACACCCAACCTTACTCAAAACTCAAGCTCTTCGCGATTCTTCTGTATTGTTCATACTGTAATCTCTAGGAGAGCAGCGATAGTATATATCAGTCGGCATTAAATCCCCAGTGCCTCTCATAGTATCTGGTGCATAATAGGCACTCGATAAATACATTTCATTGGTAAATGTACAGTTTTTTAAAGCCATGTATTAAAGAATATGCTCGAGCAATAGCATCTAAAATTTAAAACTTGTGACTTGTGGGGCGCCTGGGGGGCTCAGTTGGTTGAGCGTCCGAGTCTTGATCTTGGCTCAGGTCGTGATCCCAGGGTCATTGGATCGAGCCCCACATCAGGCTCTGTACTGAGCATGGAGCCTAAGAGTCTCTCTCTCCCTGTGCCACTCTCTCCCACTTGTGCTCTCTCTCTTTCTCAAATTAAAAAAAAATTGTGAGTTGACATCCTTTTGATGAGACAGTTACAGGAAATAGAAATGAAAGCATGGCTTTATAAAACTCAGCTAACTAAAGGACACCACATGAATATATGCAGATATTAATTAAAAATTAAGAGTGAATACGTGAATATTCAAAAGCCCTATTTGGATAATTATTTCTAGGTAAAAGATCTGTCTTTCATAAGCTCTGATCATAAATTTTTATTCTTTGCATCCAACTTGATTACCAAATAGAATCTAATATAGAAATACCTTTCCTCAGGTTGCTTAAAATCCTACAACCAAAATTAGCCAAATATATGCAATGGAAGACTCCAATTATGAGAATAATTAAAATCCTGTGTCACCAGCACTTAGTTATAAAATGACTATAATATTGAGAGCATATTAATGCTACTGCATACTTAAATCTCATTGCTTTCATATGATCTTATTCCAATTCTAAGGAAATAAAAGTGGAAGGACTTTTTACTTACCAATTAAATATATTTTAAAAATCATTTTATTTTCCTAATTTTCTTTAGGGGGACTTGCCCTTCAAAGATTTGGGCAGATGGGGATATAGCTCAGGGGTAGAGCATTTGACTGCAAAGATTTGGGCAGACAAAATTGTCACAGCTGGCATGATAAAAAATGAACTGGTTTCAGCATATTAGGAATTGAGGCTATAAAAATATTTTTAACTTCTAGTTGGACAGCAATAGATAAAATATGAAGTATCACGGAAAGACAGCCACAGAGAGCAACTTCCACCGCAAAGAAAAACATGAGTGCAGGATTGGTTATCTTTATAGCATGACTATAGACTAAAACACCTTCTATATTGCACGTGTATTGAGAACAATGTAGCGTGTTGAGATGTTCGTGTAAATAAATGCATCTGGACACTAAAATAATGGTAAAATTTCATCACACTTTCTCTCCCTTTCCTAGTACCGTCTTCAACAGAAGAAGTTTTTGAAAAGACAGCCCCAGTTTTGAGTTTTGAATGATGACCAAATTTATCTAAGTTCAATAGGGCTCTAAGGACCGAAAATAATAAATCCTATGCTAAGGTGCTCCCTCCAGCAGTGGTGCTACACGGAAAAACGTCTGGAAACAAATGCCCAAGACGTGGAGATCTTTAAGTGAATAAACTGTCCAATCAATCCATTCCCTAGTCTTTGTCTCCTGATGGAAAACAAACCATCAGAGAAATGTGTGATAGGAGATATGGGGCTGCCTCTAACCTGGGATGCAGAGGACCTGATTTTTTATTCTGACTATGCCACTAACTAGCTGAGTGAGCTTGCGGGTGGTGGGGGAGAGTCCCCACATAGAAATTCAGGGAAGGAGGGGCTCCTGGCTGGCTTGGTCCGTGTAGCATGGGACTCTTGATCTCGGGGTTGTAAGTTTGAGCCCCATGCTGGATGTAAAGATTCCTTAAAAATAAAATCATTACAAGAGAAGAAGAAAGAAAGAAAGAAAGAAAGAAAGAAAGAAAGAAAGAAAGAAAGAAAGAAAGAAAGAAAGAAATGCAGGGAAGGCGATACACTTTCCTCTCTGCACCTCAATTTCATCCACAAGAACAAGTGATAGACTAGTCTCAGTAAGAACCATTCAGTTCTTACACTGTGGGATTCCAGGACTCCCTTGCCCTGTAATTAATTCACGTCTTCTAGATCCTTTTACCCAAAGATAAATTTGCAGTGGCAACTGGGGGTATACTGGAAACACGTGGGAGCAGATCTCGTGTTCTCTTAAGCTTATTCCATACACTCTGGTAGCATATACAGCCCTGGCCCCACAAGCTTCATGGGTCGGCACGGCTTCCTGAGCTGCATGGCCTCAGATTCTTTTTTTTTTTTTTTTTTTTTTTTTTTTTTTTTTTTTTTTTTTTTTTTTTTTTTTTTTTTTTTTTTTTTTTTTTTTTTTATTTATTTTTGGGACAGAGAGAGACAGAGCATGAACGGGGGAGGGGCAGAGAGAGAGGGAGACACAGAATCGGAAACAGGCTCCAGGCTCTGAGCCATCAGGCCAGAGCCCGACGCGGGGCTCGAACTCCCGGACCGCGAGATCGTGACCTGGCTGAAGTCGGACGCTTAACCGACTGCGCCACCCAGGCGCCCCTCAGATTCTTAATCTCTGTGAAAAATCAGAGCCGGTGAGGCTTTGAATAAAAGGCGCCCACTGCTGAGACGCATCGTCTGTTAGGCAGAGATGCGTTGGCCTCATCAGGTTCGAACTGCGTCATTAAAGATGCTTCAGAAGCCCGAGTCAGGTCGCTCTCACCACTGTCAGATGCTAGAAATGGAAATGGTTTCCCTCGATTGTCAAATCCGCTTCTACCTGACACGGTAAAAGAAACACAGGCTACACTTTGATTTGGAAAATAACAATCACTGCTTTGTAACCTAAAGGCCTAATTAGAAGTTAAGGGAACTGCTGTTCCTTCCACGCACCCCCTTCTCAAACAGTTGCAAGCCTGCTGAGCACCAACTGTGTTGAATTTCAATGTGTACTGTTTCTTGAAGCAATATCCTGCCAGGCTGGCCTATATGATAACAAAATCTCCAGCCTTGTTATTTAGAAGAACAAGGAACAGATTTCTAGGACATTCCCACTCTTCTGAAAGCTGCAGAGACCAGTTGGAAAAATCTAAAACAGCAGCCAAGGGCAGAGAAGAGTTGCATCTCCACCCTGCCTGGGGCTTTTCGCCTCCCAGCCTAAGCGGCACATAGTGGCCCACCTAGGAAAAGTAATACGGAACAAAGAATGAGAGCTAGACGGAGGGCAAGGAAGGCTTATTCCACCCATGGGTGGTTTTCCGTATTAAAATGCTGCCTGCCTTTATAAAAAGCCCTGAGTTCTTTAATTTCTCACATAATTAATTCCTGCCAGCTGGTATGCAAAACAAAGACAAGACGGGGAACAGTATTATCATGATAGATCACTCTATATTAACACTTTTCCCTTAATACAGTCCAATTTACACGGTTTTCGAGTTAAGCAAATGATGTAGAACCAAGGCGCTCCTAAATATTAATTTGGCAGCTCTGCCCTGAAACTTACCGCAGATTGTTATCTCTTTGGAAGGAGAGGTTTTTACGTGAGTGAAGTTCGGCATTTGCTTCAGGACTTTCTTGGTTTCAAATAGCACCTCTAAGACGTAACGAGCATGAAGTATCTGTGAGGGTGAGGCAGAGGAAAAATATATAATGAACTAGCAAGAAAAGCATGACTACGTAGAAAGCTATAAAGGTGGAGCATATGAGCACATTTCTGGAAGCTATATTGCAGGATAATCTCTAAATTATTCTCAAAAAGGGGCGCCTGGGTGGCTCAGTCGGTTAAGCGTCCGACTTCGGCTCAGGTCATGACCTCGCGGTT